TTCACCACTGAGCTAAAAGGGTGTCTGGGGGCCATATTCTCGGGGTTTCTCCAGTCTGTCAATCCAGTAAATCTGGTCTTTTTTTTGTGAGTTAGAATTCTGTTCTACATCCTTCTCCAGCTCTGTCCAGAACCCTCTATTGTGATCCTGGTCAGAGCAGTCCGTGATGATAGCCGGGCACCATCTAGCTGTACTTGACTCAGTCTGGTGGAGGCCATGGTAGCTGTGGTCCATTAGTCCTTTGGACTAATCTTTTCCTTGTATCTTGTTCTCTTCATTCTCCCTTGCTTCCGAAGGGATGAGACCAGTGGAGTATCTCAGATGGCTGCTCACAGGCTTTCAAGACCCCAGACGCTGTTCACCAAGGTAGAATGTAGAACATTGTCTTTACAAACTGTGTTATGCCAATTGAGCTAGATGTTCCCTGAGACCATGGTGCCCACAGCCCTCCGCCCAGCAATTCAGTCCCTCAGGGAGTTTGAAAGTGTCTGTGGAGCTTCCATGACCTCTCCTAGTACAAGCTGTGTGCCAAACCATGATATTTTCAATTGCCTCATATACATGCAAAAGCTGGACAATGAATAAGGAAGACCGAAGAATTGATGCCTTTGAATTATGGTGTTGACAAAAAATGTTGAATATACCATGGACTGCCAAAAGAACGAACAAGTTGGTCTTGAAAGAAATACAGCCAGAATGATCCTTGGAAGTGAGGATGGCGAGACTTTGTCTCACGTACTTTGGACATGTTATCAGGAAGGACCACTCCCTGGAGAAGGACATCATACTTGGTAAGGGAGAGGGTCAGCGAAAAAGAGGAAGACCCTCGATGAGATGGATTGACACAGTGGCTGCAACAATGGGCTCAAGCATAACAATGATTGTGAGGATGGTGCAGGACCAGGCAGTGTCTTGTTCTGTTGTACGTAGCGTCACTATGAGTCAGAACCAACTAGACGGCATCTAACAACAACAGTACTGAGAGGGAGTTCTTAGTGAGGGCCCATGGAAAACTTGGGAGTTTATAGAAAGACTTCAGAGGGGTAAATTCACCAGTGGATATTGTAGGCCACATTTGGTGTGTATTTGCATTTTTGGGGAAAGCGTCTGAAGATTTTATCAGATTTTCAGAGCATCTAATAATATAAAAAACGTATCAAAACCACTTATGTAAGGTTCAGAGCCCTGGTGGCGCAGTGGTTAAGAGCTCAGGCTGTTAACCAAAAGATTGATAGTTCGAATCCAGCAGCCACTCCTTGGAAATCCTTTGGGGGCAGTTCTGCTCTGTCCTATACAGTCACTATGGGTTGGAATTGACTTGACAGCTGTGCATTTGGTTTTGTTTTATGTAAGGCTCACAGTTTTCCTCAGTAATGTAGAACACATGTTCTCTTAAGCTTTTCATTAAAAGAATATTGATTTTAGAACATATTAATCTTTTCATTGAATAACTTTTTATTACAACAGTGATACATATACACTGTAGACATGTTAGAAAAATCAGGGAAGTAGAAAGAAGAAAACAAAAACTATGCTCAATTACTCAGAGAGAAACTATACTTAATCATTTTGATGGATAATCTAGACTTCTTCTATGCAGGTAGATAGATTTGACTACATCAACTTGAGAAAAATATTGTAGTACATATGACAGTCGCTATGAGTCGAAAATCGGCTCAACGGCACCCAACAATGTATAAGGCACTCCTAGAAATCAGTAAAATGTGACAGAAACCCCTCTAGAAAAATGGGCAAAGACAACATGTGTACTTCTGTTTCATGAGAAAATATTTGTTCTGTAAGCCTTCACCTGAAGTACAGTAAAAAAAAAAAAAAAAAACCTGGAAAAAAAAAAAAAGAAAGTCTTCAATAAATTTTTATTTTGTTGAATTGAAAAAAAAAGGGCAAGCAAATAAGAGGAAATACAGTCAATAAATATATTAAAAAAGTACTATCAAAATTCAAGAAATGTTAATTAAAAAAGAAGTGTTTTTCACCTATCAGATGGAAAAGGTTAAAAAGAATAATACCAGTTAGTAAGGTTTCAAAGAAATAAATGGGCACTTTTATAATTTTGGTGGTGATACAAACTGATACAGCTTTTCTGGTGGGTAATTTGGAAGTCGTGTACTTAATAGTGCAGTTTCTTTCCACTTGCCACACTTTTCTTTTTCCTTTATATCAACATTCCCTGCAACTTCTGCAAGTGCACTCAACACTACATTAAGACTTATCTCTGGGTTTGCTTTCTTGGAGCCATGACAGCATCTCTTAATTTGTTCTTAGGAAATTAATCCCTTTACCCCAAACCCTATTGCCGTGGAGTCCATCTGAACTGCCCCATAGGGTTTCAAAGGAGTGCCTGGGGGATTTGAACTGCTGACCTTTTGGTTAGCAGTCATAGCTCTTAACCACTAGGCCACCAAGAAATATCTTAGGTATTTTGTATTTTAAAGAATACTTCCTGCAGGCAAACACTGCATGAACATCAAAGCAGTGTAGATCTGTGATTCTCAGCAGGTGGCACTGCTTTGAAAGGGCACTTTAGTTGTCACAATAACAGAGGGGGAGGAGTGGCACAGGTTAGACAGACCAGGGATAGAAGACACCCTGCTGTGCAGGCGAAATTCATGTAAGTGAAAAGCCTACCTGTTTGTTACTGTCCAAGTGTAAAACCTAACTCCATTTTGACATATAAACACAATGCACTTCCAGCGTGGCTTCAATAAACACAGAACATTCCAGATTTGCCACTGTGTCAAGTAAGACAAGAATGGTTTTTGTTCTGAACTTTCCCAACCTTTGTTCACATTTCAGATCATCATGTTATCAGTGGTAACGTCTTGGTCTGGAGCCACCAGTACCACCCACTTGTCTCAGTTTGCATTTGTAGAAGTCATAGGTGGTCTCACCTACAGATGCAGAGATCTGGCTACTAACCTGTGTTTTCTAGCCACCTAGTGTAGCTGTCCCCAAAAGTACCCACTGAAGTACATATTATAAATTTCTTTTATCTTAAATTACAATTAAGTCATTTTATTGAATGTTTAATTGCAATATAATTCACACACTATAAGGTTCATCATTTTAAGACGTAAATTCAGTGTTTTTTGTTTTTTTTAGTATATTTACAAGGTTGTGAAACCATCACCAATGTCTAATTCTAGAATATTTTCATAACCCCAAACAGAAACTCTGTACCTATTAGCAGTCACTCCTGATCCCCTCTTTCCCTGTCAACCACTGATCTACTTTCGGTCTTTATGGATTCGCCTATTCTGGACATTGCGTTACATGGGATGATACACCATCCGGCCTTTTCTGTCTGACTTACTTCATTTACATAATGTTTTTAAGGTTCATTCGTGTTGTAGCATGAATCCGTGTTTTTTTTTTTTTTTATGGTTGGATAATATATTAATTTTTGGAAATTATATGGCTAGGAAGTTAAATTATCTATGCATTTCCTTTCAGGATAGTAAAAAAGGTGTTACAAAATATTTGTTATAGAAAGGGGGCTTTGGATCAGAGCTACTAATCTAGTTGGAAAGACAAGACACATGTATAAAAAAGGCAGTTGCCAGCCCAAGCAAACACACTGTAAATTATCAGGGGATAAATCTCCTGGACAAAAGGTGGGCTGGTAAGGATTAGGCAGGGATGGGATCTAAGCAATAGGTCCTATTCAGTTAACGGAGTGGCAATGCCTGGAATGAGATACAGCCACCCCAAAGTTAACAAGCTGGCCACAGGCATAGGATGTTACCCCATCTCTGTGATCTCCACCCAGCGATCTTTCCTTTGGGCAGGATCTGCGGTGACGAAAGAAATCAGGGGAAGCCACGTGATCTTTTCTAAACTGAACAGCGGCCGCCTAAGGGGGTGAGTTCGGCAGAGCAGCGTTTACAGCATCTAAGCAGCCAACCCCGACCCTTGGGAGGCCGGGCTCTCGCGTTCCTCGAGGGCCTTTGCCCAGGCTTTTTCGGCCCATCTCGGCCGCCGTGGCCGGGCTGCGCTCAGCTGTTTGTGGGCGGGGCCCCGCAGACCATGGCGGGCGAGCTTGACAGCAGCAAGCCTCTGAGCGGGCTGCTGAGCGGCCTGGCCCAGGACGCCTTCCACGGGCACCCGGGCATCACGGAGGAGCTGCTGCGGAGCCAGCTGTACCCGGAGGTGCCGCCCGAGGAGTTCCGCCCCTTCCTCGCGAAGATGCGGGGGATTCTTAAGGTACCGCTCTTCCCCGCAGCCTCTGCCGCGGAGCCCAGCCCCATCCTCGCCGCCCTCGGGCTCCGTCCCCCGCAGCTGAGGAAGCTCCGCTCCTCACGCCGCTGCTGCCTGCTCCGCATTGCGTTCCTCCTGATCCGGGAGCTCACTCCGGCGCCCTGTCGCTTCCCTGGGGCTGACACTCTGCTCAGGCTCCCGGCCTCCGTCAGGGCTGATCGACGGTCGCGGATGGGGACTCTGCGCTTTTGCCCAGGACACCTCTTCGCTGCCTGGTGTTGTGTGGGTAGCAGTTTCGAGTTGCCGTTTGGTTCTGTGGGCGCTGGGCTCTTAAAAATTAAGCGCGATAAGTCGCCAGCTTCCCCAGGTCGCGGAATGGGGAGATTTAGAGTGAGCAGTGTCTACAGGATAAGGGGTGGGTTACCCACAGTGAACACCTGTCAGGAGATCCATTGTATGATTAAGACATATTTACCAGCTTGAAGTCACAATGTAGACCAGCCCGTCCAATAGAAATAATGAGAGCCAAGCGTGCCATTTAAAAACGTCTATAGCCACATTAAAAAAAAAAAGAAAAAGAAACTGATGAAATTAATTTTAACAATATTTTTTATTTAACCCAGTGTATCCAAAACATTATAATTTAACAAGTAGTCGATATAAAATAATGATATGTTTTATATTCCTTTTTTTCACAAAGTATTTGAAATTGGTGTGTTTTCCACTTACAGCACATCTCAATTCCAATTAGCCACATTTCAAGTGCTCAATAGCCACATGTGGCTAATGGCTACTGTACTGGATAACTTTGGACTTAGAACTAGTCATAGAAAAATGGGAAACCACTGAATTTGGTGCCAAAATGAGATAGACTATCAAAATAATTACCGGTTCTTGTGGGCTTCCTATGTGTTAGGAACCGTATGAGACCTTTTACATGTTACTTCATTTGTTTCTTGCAGTAGGCTTATATGGTGGACACCCATTTTAAAGATTAGGAAACGGACACTCAGGGAGTCTAAGCAGTTAGCCTAAAATTACACTTTGATTCAAGTTAATTTTGAAGTTTCATCTGTTATCCTTTTATACTTGCTATTTGTTTTAAAACTGCTTCTGGTTTAAAAGGAGCCCCTGGGTGGTGCACATGGTTAAGTGCTGAACTGCTAACTGAGAGGCTGGTTCATACCCACCCAGAGGCACCTTGAAAGTAAGGCCTCTCGATCTGCTTCTGAAAGGTCACAGCCTTGAAGACCTTACGGAGCAGTTCTACCCTGCATACATGGAGTTGTCCTGAGTCAGAATCAGCTTGATGGCAACTGTCTTAGGCTGAGTTCTCTAGAGAAGCAAAACCAGTAAAGCATATAAATATATACAGAGAGAGATTTATATCAAAGAAACAGCTCACATGATTGTAGAGGCTGGAATGTCCCAATCCGTGGATTAGGATAGAGGCTTCTCCGATTCATGTAGCTGCAGGGGCTGGTGAACCCAAGATTGGCAGATCGGAAAGCAGGGCTCTGGCTCCTAGGCTGTGAATATTGATGAATCCCAAGATTGGCAGGCAAGACCGTAAGGCTTCTTCTGATTCACGTAGCTGCAGGGGCTGGCGAACCCCAAGATCCGCAGGGCAGAGAGCAGGGCTCCGCTCACAGGCTGTGAAGATGGATGAATCCGAAGATTGGCAGATAAGCTGACGGCTCAAGTCCTAAGAACTGGAGGTCAGATGAACAGGAGGCAGCTGCAGGATCCAGAGTGAGCAAAAGCCAAAACGTCTGCTTATATTTGGGTGCAGGCCACACCCCCAAAGAAACTGCCTTTCAACTAATTGGCTGCTCACAGCGTGTTCAGTCATGGGAGTGATCACATATAAACACTGAGAATCATGGCCCAGCCAAGTCAACACAGTCTTACCCATCACAGCAACTAACAACATGCTTTAAAAGAAGGAGCTCTGTACTTTGCTTTTACTGTTTCCGCCTATAGAGTTTGAATCCAGAAAAAAAGATTATCTCAGGATATAAGTGAATTGTATTATGGAAATATAAAGGGTGACATCTCAGGTGTGATCCCTAGACATTCTGATTTTAGTTGGTATGTTAGATCACAAGGAGCCCTGGTGGTGCGATGGTTAAGCACTTGGCTGCTAACCAAAAGGTTGGTGGTTCAAACCCACCCAGCGGCTCCATGGAAGAAAGACCAGGAGATCTGCTTCTGTAAAGATTACAGCCTAGAAAACCCTATGGGGCAGTTCTGCTCTGTCACAAGGGGTTGCTATGAGTTGAAATTGACTCTACGGTACCTAACAACATATTAAACCACTAGTGAATGTCCTATTTCTATCAAATCTTACTCTTGGAGTGGTCAGAGAAGGCTTCCTACGGAATTTGATATCTTTGTTTTTGAGATATTTGCTTGACATATAGGGGATGAGGACAAGCGATTGCAGGCCATAACAGATATAATTTCTTCTTAGGTTCTTCCAACATTGGGGGCCACTCGCCCTCTCTAGGTGGACCATATTTTCATATGAGATAAAAATTGTAGGGTACCTAGAGAAGAGCTTGCCTGAAAGTTCTCTCCTTTTCTCACTTATTTTAAAAACACTGCCGAGTAGTATCCAGGTCGTCCCTGACCTGTCTATAGAGCCTCCTCCTCCCTCTCACTCTTGTTACTCTGTTTTTTCTTAATGATACTTAGCACTACCTGAAATTATATACTTATGAACTTGTTTACTTGTTGACTTCCCCTTTAGAATGTAAGCAGTAAGAGGGCAAGGACTTTGGTATTATTTTTATTTATCTGTAACACCTAGTACTGTTTCTGGTATGTGGTGGTGGTTGTTAGTTGCCACTGAGTCAGCTCCAACTCTTGAAGACCTTACGTACGACAGAACGAAACATGGCCCGGTCCTGCGCCATCTTCATGATCGTTGGGATGTTTGAGTCCATGGTTGCGGCTCTTGTGTCAGTCCATCTCATAGAGGGTTCCCTTGTTTTAGCTGGCCCTCTACTTTACCAGACATGATGTCTGTCATGGCTGCTGTTACGGGTCAGCTTGGCTAGGCTAGGATTCTCTGTGGCTTGGCAGACATTGGACTGACTGCTCTTCTATAGTGTAGTATAATACAGTCACCTCCATGATGTGATCTGATGTGATCCGCCAGTCAGTTGAAAGGGGAGTTTCCTTGGGGATGTGGCCTTCCTCCAGCATATAAATGGATGTTCCAGCAAGACTGTCTGGACCCTGCATTCTTTTCATTGCCTGACCTCTGGTTCTTGGGACATAAGCCTGCAGAAGTCTTCAGCTTGTTGCCTGACCCACGGATTTGGGACTTGCCAGTCCTCACAATTGCCTGAGCCATGTTCTTGAAGTAAATCTCTCGATGTATACTTATATGTACACCTCACTGGTCTTGCTCCTCTGGAGAACCCAGACCGAGACAGTGTCTTTTTCTAGCAATTGGTGTTTCCTGAGGATTTGTTCAAAGTAAGCGAGCTAAAATTTCGCCACCCAGCTTCTAAGGAGCATTCTGGTTTTATGTCTTCTAAGACTGATTTGTTTGTTCTTCTGGTGGTCCACGATACATTCACTATTCTTTACCAGTACCACAGTTGGAATGCATCAGTTCTTCTTTTGCCTTTTCTGATTGTCCAGCTTTACAAGCATATGAGGTGATTGGAAAGACCATGGCTAGGGTCAGACGTACCTTGGTCACGAAAGTGACATCTCTGCTTTTTAAAACTCTAAAGAGATCTTTTACAGCATATTTGCCCAGTACAATGCATTGTTTGATTTCTTGACTGCTGCTTCTGTGGATGCTGATTGTTGATTCAAGTAGAATGAAATCATTGACAACTTCAATTTCTTCTTCATCTATCATGATGTTATTTATTAGTCCAGTTGTGAGGATTTTTGTTTTCTTCACATTCAGTAAGCACTTAATAAAAATTTATAGAATAAGTGAATGAGTGGATATTGCTTAAATTTGGAGATTGCCACTAACAAGTTAAGCACAGGGAGAAAATCTACACCATTTCTATATGGAGGAGAGCTAGAAAGTGTAATACTCTAAACCAGGAGTTGGCAGACTACAGCCGGTAGGATGAATCTGGCCTGCTGTTAGTTTTTATAAATAAAGTGTCATTAGAGCACAGTCACGCTCATTTGTGTATTGCCTTTGACTATTTTCGCTGCTACAACAGCAGAGTTAAATATTTGCAGCAAAGACCATATGACCTGCTAAGCCTAAAATATTTACTGTCTGACCGTTTATAGAAAAAGCTTGCCTACCCGTGCTCTAAACATCTGTTCTTAAACTCACAATGCTTAATATTTGGAAACAATACAATACGTTTTTTTGTTGTTGTTAGCTCCTATCAGGTAGGCCTCCGACGCATGGCGACCCCATGCACAATGGGATTGGACTGTTGTGATTCATAGGGTTTTCATTGGCTGATTTCGGAAGTAGATTGCCAGACCTTTCTTCCTAGTCCACCTTGATCTAGAAGCTCTGCTGAAACCTGTTCAGCATCATAGCAACACGCAAGCCTCCACTGACAGATGGTGGCTGTGCTTGAGGTGCATCACAGCCAGGTGTCCACATAGAAGGCCCTAATTATGTTTAAAAGTTGGTTAAAAATCTAGAAACTGGAAATGGGGACTGTTTGCTCTTTTTGTCTTCTTGAGAAGTTTCACTAACTTGTTCTTTAGGCTTATTAGTTCTTGTGAGCTTGAACGGTCCTCTAGTACTAAGTGTGTATTCTTACTAAGATATAAGATAGAATTTGAATTTGGAAATTTTTTCTCATATTTAGAGGATGTAAAGTTTGTATATGTTCATTAATTTATATTGTTTATGTTATTAATATAATATAAAATCATATAAAATTTAATGTTGTGAGCCTGAGAATCAATCAAGTGAATATTATCCACGTATGAAAGGTGGTTTATACCTTACAGAAAATAATTTAGCAGTAACATATTAAGAATTGTAATTCTAAAAGACT